TGACTTTCTCTTGTAGTTGTATTCCTCTCACTCAGCTCCCCTTCCCTCTCCACCTCCAGAACTTCAACATCTACAAAAGGATCTTCACTGACATGGTGAGCTCTCCTGGGACCAACAGTGCTGAGGCCTATCACAACTGGGCTGACCTCCGGGACGTCCTCTTCAACCTGGTGAGGAAGCCGGGTGGATAGCAGAGTGGAAAGGCTGCTCGGTCTGCCTGGCCCTGCCCTCATCTCTCCTTTCACACCCAGAATCCTTCACCCTCGAGCTCTGCCTTCCTCTGGGCAACTGTCCATTGATCACTCTGGCACTCCTCTGACCCACCCTCGGGCTCTACCTTCCTCTGTCCAGACGGCTGACTATTGACCACTCTGTCCCTGGCACTCCTCTGATACCCAACCCAGGCTGTGTGCTCTTCCCGCTCTAGTGTGAAAACCTGGTGAAGTCCAGTGAGGCCAACTCTCCAGCCCACGAGGAGTTTGAGACCATGCTGTTGATTGCTCATTACTACGCCACCCGCTCTGCAGCCCAGAGTGTCAAAGAGCTGGTGAGATGGAGCAGGGAGGGGCACTCAGCTTCAAATGGGTGAAGCTGAATGAACGCAAGTTCAGGACAGTCTCAAGCTTGGCCCACTTCTCTCCTAGTCTCTCTTCCATTTAAAGAAATCTTTAGCCCTTGCTGAGATGGTTTCGTTTTTGTATCCCTTTGACCGTCTTAGGGCTCTGTGCCCACACAGCTCCAGCCTCGTTATGCTCAAACATTCCAATTCCATGATTTCTGCGTTGACCTCTTATAATAGATACATACTTTTAGCTTATTCATGATACTATATTGAGTTACTGTAGTTGGATGATGGAATTCTAGAGGTGGGAGGAAATAACCCAGGCCCAGTTCTCTTGTGTAGATAAAAAAACTCAGAGCATGACCCAGAGCAATTTAATATTGATCGTTGATCTTCTGGTTCCATGGCTGCTTTAGTTATAAGATCATTGGTCTGGTAGCTCAGTCACTACAGTGCCAGAATCATAATGCTTTGACTTTAATTCACAGGAAACTGTAGCTGCCAGGCTTTCTGTTTCACTCTTGCGTCACACCCAACTACTACCTGCAGATAAGGCCTTCTATGAAGCAGGCATTGCTGCCAAGGTGAGCAATGGGGCCAACCAAGGGTGGGACTGAGGACAGAAGGAAGTAAAAGTTGGAAGGTAGACTGTCCCAGCTGCTCAAGTTAGAGCAGAGCTGAGTGTGGGCCTGTTGTCGTGGAGGATACCATTTTCCTCCATCTTCCTGGATTCTGCCCCCTGCATCCTAGAAAAACAACAGCCAAGGCCAGCTGCTCACTCCTACTGGCAACATTTCTCTGTTGCAGGCAGTTGGCTGGGAGAACATGGCCTTCATCTTCCTCAACCGCTTTTTGGATCTGACTGATGTGAGTAGGGCAGTTGTGCCCAGAAGTTGCAAGGTTTGGCCTGTCACAAGCTGTGCCCATCTCATGGCTGCCTGCTCTGCCATAGGCAATTGAAGAAGGGACCCTGGACGCCCTTGACCACTCTGACTTTCAGGACACAGACATTCCCTTTGAGGTGCCACTCCCAGCCAAGCAGCACGTCCCGGTAAGGGCACAGAAACAGGAGGCCTCACGAGCAGGAGTCCTCACTGGAAGGGAGGACACTCTTAAGGATGGTCCTCCCAACACTCTAATGGCATCAGTCAGCAATGTCTTTGGAAGGGCCCCAGCCCTCACTATTCCTTCAGTGAAAGTAGCACCAGAGGAAAAAGCTAAGGCTGCGACTGGCTGCCAGCGCAAGGAGTTTCATTTGTGGGTGAAAGATGGTACATGGGATGACAGCTTAGCAAACCCCCTCCTAACCACCCTCCACTTTCCCTGCCCTGCATGAAGCTGCTCTGTCCTTCCCAGGAGGCTCAGCGAGAAGAGGTTCGAGACTGGGTGCTCACGGTCTCAATGGACCAGCGGCTGGAGCAGGTTCTACCTCGGGATGAGCGTGGGGCCTACGAGGCTTCCCTGGTGGCAGCCAGTACTGGGGTTCGGGCCCTGCCCTGCCTCATTACAGGTACAGAATGCTAGAGCACCATATTCTGTGCTGGGTGGAAAGGAGAGGGAAACAGCAGGATCAAGAGGCTGTTTTACTGTGATCAGTAAAGGATGCAGAAGACAAAAACATCCTACTTTCTATCCCTCACTTTGCTCTTTGTTATTCCCTCTCAATCCCTCTCATACTCTAATTCATCTTTTTCTCTCCCTTCAACCCCCAGGATACCCCATTCTGAGGAACAAAATTGAATTTAAGCGGCCAGGGAAGGCAGCTAACAAGAAGAACTGGAACAAGTTCCTTATGGCTATCAAGGTTAGAGAGGAAGGCTTGAAGGAAGAGGGCAGGGAGAACAACATTGAAGACCAACCAGCACCAACCACTGGGGTGGTGTTGGGAGGGGGGTGGACTGTCAAGAAGGTAGGTGCAGGCCCCACAGCCTGCTCCCCACACTGAGATGGAGCTGGTTTTCCTTATATCGGGAATGTTCTTCCCAGTACTGCTGAGTCCCTCTTGTGCTCTTGTTTGCTCACAGACCTCCCACAGCCCTCTGTGCCAAGACGTGCTGAAGTTCATCAGTCAGTGGTGTGGGGGGCTGCCCAGCACCAGCTTCTCTTTCCAGTAACTGGGAGAGTCAGTAGGTTCCATCCTTCATTAAAGTCTTGTAAGTAACCGAGACCACTGTATTCTTTGAACAAGGTCACCCCCAACACTAGCCCAGCACCCCTTTCCCCCAAAAGGAAACATAATCAAGTTGAAGAGACATCCTTTTATTACAGTTGTTACTATATAAACATCCTAGGGGTCAGTGGAAAACCCTTGTGGACAGAGCCTTTGGACCTGCACCTGCTTGACAGAAGGGAGAGCCTGGTCAGAGGGCCAGCAGCATAGCAAAGGACTCAACCCAAAAGGGCGTGCTCCCTACCGCTGCCCTTTCCCAGGCCACAGTCCTCCTGGCCCATTACCTGGCCCTAAACCCAACTTTTCTGTGAGGTCTGGATTTCTTGCGTTTGGTCCAGTAGCTGCACATTTTCCTGCCATTTACGTTTAGGAAATTCAAGCTCTGTCAGCTCCTCCAGCTACAGAAGAGGGCAGGGTTAGTGCTCCAGCCCTCAGCTGTATCATCCAGTCTCTTCCACACAATCTGTGTTGAGTGAACCCTTGCTGTTCATCTTCCTTACCTGCTCCTGCAGCCCATCCTTCCTACAGGGCCCTACCCCACGCAGGGTGAGCGCAGCCACACAGCAGTAAGCAGAGAGAGCAGCCTCGGCTGCAGACATGAACACAGAAGGGATCCAGAGAGCCAAGGCTGTGTCCTAAAAGGTGAAGGAAAGGCGGGAGACAAGAAGAGGAAGCTGGGCAGGGGTGGCAAATGCGGGCGATTAAAGGGCAGGACCCAGGCTCTGTGGACTGCTAAAAGGCTGGGGAGAGAACTGGACTCACATAGATTTTTGTGGGGTCAAAGGGGCAGTCAGCATGTCCAGACCCCTGGTCCAGCGGTACCAAAGGATCCAGCAGTCCTGGGTGGCAGTCGGCAATAAGACGGCGGCCGCCATTGGCCACAGTGAGGGACACAGCGAGGAGGAGGCCCAGGGAGCAGGCAGCAGACAAGAGAAGGTTCACCAACGCTAAGGCCAGCAGGGCCCAGTGCTGACAGGGGCAGGAGGTCAGGGTGAGCAGCCTGGGGGGCGGCTGCCTCGCCCACTGACCAGACACCTCGGTTACTCTTATTTGGGGCTCCCTCTCCAACTAAAGACGAAGCTGAATCAGCCCCACCACCCCACCACCCCTCCCCGCTTCCCTGCCACCAGGCCTCCTCCTCAAAGCTCCAGAAATCTCACCAATCGTGGGCGAAAAAGATTCCTGGACGCCAAAAGGGCCACAAGTCCCAAAGAAACGCTCTGGAAGAAACGAAACCTGAGGCCCGCGCCGCTAGGCGGCCCCCCACCGCCCGCGCCCCGGCCCCAGCTCGCCCCGCCCTGCCCTGCCGCGCTCACCAGCAGCCCTGAGCCCACGGATATGACATTGGCGGTGGTGTACTCCGGGGTGACGGCGCCGCGGGGGTTGGCCACGTGCCGCAGGACGGTGCCGTGCAGCACGGCCCCCAGCAGCAGGTTCACGTGGCCCACCAGGATCAGCGCCAGGCCCACCCGCATGAGCCGCCGGGGGCCCCGGGCCGCGTCTGCAAGGCACGGGCGAGGGGCAGGCTGAGCCGGCTGAGGAGCCGGAGGCCCCGCACGGGCGCCGCAGGTCTGCCACAGGCCCGAAGGTGGGTCCAGGATGGGCCCTCGGGGATAAACAAGACCGGAGGGGCCGGAAATTACCGAAAGCGCAGAGGCGGCGGCACTTCATCCGGTCAGTTGGCGCTCGCCGCGGGGCAGCTCTTACCTGCAGGCCCCGGCTCCGCCCCCGCGCCCCGGCTGGCTCCTCCCGTCCGGCACACCTGTGGTCCGGCCTCCGCGCCCCCTGGCGGACAGCGGGACACACAACACACACACACTACGCGCGTAGCAAAAAGTAGACTTTTATTACAGCAGCAACTGAGGCGAATCGAATGGCCCCCCGGGGCCACCCCTGCAGCACCACCCTTCTCTCCCGCCCCGTCCGCCCCAGCGGGATGGTAGAACTCAGCTCCCCATGCCCGTGTGCCTCCTTCCACACAGGCTGGGCGGGAGCGGCATTTCGGCTACTAGCCCCCGACTAGAAGGCGGCTGCTGAGAAGGCCAAGGCCCAGGCCCACGTCTGTGCAAAACAAGTAAACAAAGTGCAGAGGGATGGAAGAGAAGGGAAGGGCTGGGGAGGGTGATGCTCAGAACCAGGGAGCCCAGAGCCCTCCTGAATAACAGAGGAGAGCAGGGCTTCACGGGGGTAATACTGACTGGGGGGCGGGGCGGGAGCCGCAGCCTCTCCGGAGGCCACAGCGCGGAGGAGGGGCCGGGCCGAGTGGCTCTAAGAGGAGACGGTGACAGCGGCTGAGTTGAGGGTGCTGTTCCTGGCGAAATTGAACTTGTTCAGGGTCTCCTCCAGCAGAGAAGTCAGTCGGCTCTGGTCAGCCTGGAAGGGAAGGGCCCAGTGAGATCCGGCCGAGACGACAGAGTGGAGGGGCCGCCCTACCCCGGACAGTGGAAGGCAGATGCCTCACCTCACTAATGAAGCCCAGCTGCACCAGCTCAGCCGCCAGCTCCGGGATGTTCTCATCTGACAGAGAAACAGGAGAAGGTGAGCACAGTGCACGAGTGAGGGGCACGGGAGCCCTTCCAACAGCCCCGGCCAGGTGACCCTGGCTGGGACACAAGTAAAACTGTCAAATCAGATCCACCCTCCAGATCTACAGGCGAAGATACTCATTCTAAGTGAGTCCGCGTGTTGCTGCCAGGTCACCTTCCCCACCCCTGAAGGTGTCCCTCACAGGTGAGGCTCACAGACTCTCCATCCTCTGAGGGACAGGAGAGACTCACTTGGCATCAGGTCACAGCTCAGGTGCCGGTTCAGTTTGTCCTCCAGCTTCAGCAGAAGCGTCAGCTGGAGAATAGGACAGTCAGAAAATGAGGCTCCACTTCCCCACCCTCTAGCCACCCAATGCTACACAGCCCTGGGCCTTACATGGTGTTTGACTCCCTCCTCCACCGACTCAATGTTGCACTGCATCAGCACTACCTAGGGAGAGGAGGCAGAAAGGGTCATTAGATTAGAGACCAGTGAGCAAAAATCCCCCAAGAGCTGGGGTTTCCAGCCCACAGGACACGGGTGCCAGGGAGCAGACACACATTCCTGTCTTTACAGGACAAAGCTTTATTTGATATGTCCCTCTCTGCTACTCCCACATAACCATACCTTGCGGGTCTCCACCTCAGCCGGCTCGGGTGTTGGAGTCTTGACAGAGGGGGGCACCACAGGTGATGTCACCTCCTCCTGTTGCGGCTGCTGGGGCCGAGGCAGCCCAAAGGCTGTCAGGGGGTAGATCCCATTCCTAAAAGGAGATCAGACAGGTCAGATGGGCTCTGGATGCCTTCAGACACCCACCCCTACCTCCTAAAGAAGTTTTTTTTCTTATTCTTCTCTCACCTGACATCTTCAAGGAATTTATCCAGTTCCAGAGCTGGAGACTGAGAGTACCTGGGGAAAAAAAAAAAGAAGATGGAAGGAAAGAAGCAAAACAGCAGGTTCAACCAATCCTAGAGAAAGGACAGTTGACAGAAACCTCCAGATGGGAGTGACCGATCTGTCCCTTTCAGAACCTCTCAGTTAGTAACTCACAGAGTCTGAACTGGTTCTCTTCCTGGTCCTGCAGGGATTTCAGCCAGTACAGCACTGGTATCCATGTTTTTGGTGATCTCCTCCAGAGCATTCTCTGGGATCATGTCTGGAGGGCAAGATAGAATGGGAAGTTATGGAAGTTCAGATATTATAGAGGGCACAGGGGTCTGGGGGGAGGGTGGGAAAGAATCCTTTTGGAAGTAGAAGAGGAAAGAGAACATACTAGTGAGAGTTACAAGGCTCCAGACTGGAAAAAAATTCCTAGGAGGGTCAAGAGGACTCACGCTGGTGTCCCACAATGCAGTGGGCAGCAAGGAGTTTGAGCGAGGGCACTTCGAACAGTGCTGGGTGAAACAGAAGTTCTCTGGCTGTTGGTCTGCGAGCAGGTTCAGACTGCAGGCACTTTTGAATGAACTCCTAGAAAAGGGAACAAGGGAGTGGAGCAGGCATCTGGTAAGCAGCTCATTGTGTTTGTCTTATCTCTCTCACTGTATCTAGCACAAGACTTTGTTCATACTAGGTGCTCAGCACGGGCTAAGGCAACAAATTGCTAAATATATTTGAAAAGACTTTGAAAACTATAATGTATTATATATGAAATATCATTCACTGTCTTTCTGGTTTAAATTATTTTTTTTGCTTCCTAGCCACAAGCTTTCTCTTTCCTTTGCTGTTCAAACTTATGATATCTTTCTCCTCCTTTTTTTTTTTTTATCCAACAAGAAGCCATAACTTTATTAATGATAGAAACAGTACAAATTTCAAACCCAGCTGCAGTTACTCTTTTGAAACACCAAAAAAAGGTCCTCTTTTCAGATGGTTACATTGTTAATTCCATAACAGCATTTACAATATCATTACTGTTGTTCTTCAGGGCTCGGACTGCCTTTGCTCTAGACACATTTGCTTGTGACATGACCAATTCTATGTCCTTAACTTCCACACCTGTTTCATCAACCTCTTCCTCTTCACTCTCCTCTTGCACAGTTGGAGTCTGTGTGTTTTCTTGGATGTTTGAGACAGCTTCACCTTGAACTTTGAATTTCTCAGCAGCTGCTAACTGTGCTTGCTGAGATAAATCCTCAATCTTGGCTTCCCCAAAAACAATGTAGGTATCTGAAGCTGGGCTCTTGTACACATCTGGTTTTGTGATGACAAAAAGGATATTCTTAGATTTCCGGATAGTGACTCTAGTAACCCCTATAACCTGTCGAAGGCCCAGTTTGGACATAGCCTTCCGTGCCTTCTTTTCACTCCGGCTCTGTTTCGGTTTACTGACTGGTTCTTCATCGATTTCAGCTGCTGCTGCCAGCTGAGCTTGCTGTGTGGTTGGCTGTGTAGAATCCTGCTCCTCAAGCTCTGGGACTGATTCATCACTATCAGATTCTGTTCCAGACCCTGTCTCAGCCTGGGGCTGTGGCAACTCCTGCTCTATAGCAGGGACGGTTTCTGTGGCTTCACCAGGCATTTTGTGCGGGGAACGCGGAACCAAGATGGCGGCAGAAAGAGAACAAGCGAGCGAGAGCCCTTTCTCCTTATTTTCTATCTCTCTGCTTTATTAGCCCACTCACTGCCTACCTTCTTCTCCAACTCTCGCCAAATTTACCTCTCTCTTTCCAAACTCATCCACTGTGGACAGTAATATTCACCATCTTTTTATTTCCCAAGCCTACTATCACAATTTTCTTTGTCTACTACATCATTTGTTCACTGGATTTCCCCATGTTTCTCTAACCCCTACTTATTTACCTCTCCTGGGTCCCATGACAATTAACCTGCTTTCCTCCTTTCCCTGTGGAAGGCCAAAAAGCCATATACCTAATCTTTTACTTGAACATCACACCCTGAAACTGAACTAGAAACTTATTCCACACTAAGATTCCCACTAGTTTTCCTTCTTTTCTCTTTGGTCCCTTTTAAATCCATATAATGACTTACAAACTAACCTCCTCTTTGGACCTTTCTTTCCAGACTCTACTCACCATATCTATTACCTGATTCAAAACCCTTATATCCTTTTAATCTTAGCTCATTTATTTCAGGGCACTTTTCCTAACTAAAACTACATAAATATACAACCCCAAATGACTGGTTTGAGAAACTCACACCAATTAATTTGTTTAAAAATATCAAGATGGTTGTTTAAGAGTATGTATCAATTACTTGAGGTAACCATCAAATCAGTTTGCCTTCATGTAGAGACACCTAAGTTAACATACAACCTTAAGACTCAACCTTATTATCCATCTTAAACCCCTGACCTGAGAGAGAATGTGTGTGTATCAAAAACACCTAGGGAAATGCTCACTACTTTGCCTTTCTGCTTTATATTCTCTTGCTCTTAGAAGAGAGCATATTCCCAGTGGGTGAAGTGAAATTCACTCGTGTCTGACTCTCTGCGGCCCCATGGACTATACAGTCCACGGAATTCTCCAGGCCAGAATACTGGAGTGGGTGGCCTTTCACTTGTCCAGGAGATCTTCCCAACGGAGGGACTGAACCCAGGTCTTCTGCATTACAGGAGGACTCTTTTATCAGCTGAGCCACAAGGGAAGCCCGCCCAGTGGCTACAAGGAATAAGAAACCTAAAAACATTTCAAAGTCTGTTAAGGAGAAGTGATCCTAAAGATCCTCACCCTCTGTAATGGGTCTTCTAGAAGCTGAATGGCACTGCTGATAGCTTCTTGTGGCACATATGAGGACTCTCCATTGCCCTGAATCTCCAACACTGCCATCTGCAGAGACGGAGAATAAAGAGAAATGGAGACCTAAGAAACCTCAGTGTTTCCACAGTCACTCCCCCAGACCAGTCACCTCCCTGTCAACCCTCCATCCCACCTGCTATCTTCTGATGTGACCCCTTTCCACTACCCACCCTCCTGGTCTCCTCACCTCCAGTGCACACATGCCGAAGGAGTAGATGTCCACTGCCGTTGTCACGTTAGTGACTTCTAGGGAAAACAGAGCAGCTTTGGTGAATCAGAGATTTGGGGCAGGGCATGGCAGGGATGTCTTAAAACTTTGCACATGCCAATAGAGAAGGACAGCAGTTTCAGGTATGTTACTGCTGACCCTCAGGGATGGGCACAGGGCAGAGAAACTGGGATGACTTACCTCCATATTCTGGTGCAAAGAAGTGGAGGTTCTTTTGCTCTTCCCGACAAGTCTTCACATGATTGTTGATAGTGTCAGGAGCCACTGGGAGTAGGGGAGATACCCACAATCTGACCACCGTCAACAAAGCACAGCTTTGCTCCAGAGAGAGGCCCCCAAAAGACAAATTCTCTCCTGATGTCTCTAACCCTCAACAGGCATAAACTGAGCCCTGAAGTCCAGACTAAACATGAACACCACCTGCCTCCCCTTTCTCAAGCTACCACTTCTTAGCTAAGGTCTCTAACTCAGTAGCAGCAAAGGCTCTGCACTAAACTAGCAGGTACCTAGGGGCTTTGGGCTGGCAACGTACAACACAGCGTAAGGAAAAACTTTCACTTGTAACCTGCTTACCTGCCCCAAAGCCCAGGTACATCTAACCCCTAATCTCATGAAAGTGTTTGCTCTAGTTCTTTCATCCACCCGGCATACAGCATAAAAACACTGGCAGCCCTTCCTGGAACAATCTGGAACAACTAAGAATCCTTAGAAACTTGGATGAAGATGGGTAAGAAGGATTAATATACAACCATAAGAAGGACAGCCTCCTTCTTATCCACCTTAACTGACTGAAACTTAAAACAAGCTCAAAATTGAACCAATACCCTTAAATCGGTTTCTCTTGGAATCCACCAAAAACTTCACTCCCCTGCTCTACCGTCTCATTCCTCAACACTGCCTGCCACAGGGCTGAACGAGGAACCAGGGCCGGGCCCAGTTTGGACTCACTCAGATCATAAACAATGACTACAAGTCACAGAGGGTCTGGGAGCACAGTATGACTTAAGGAACCAGCCTGATGATGAGGGGGGAGTAAGAATCCAGGACATAAGTGGCCAGCCAGGCAGAATCCACAGGAAACAAGCGGGTTATGGAAGGGCAAGCAGGCGAAGGGTTGGTAGGGCAGAAGCCAAGCAGGCATAATAAGGCAGGGCAACAGGGTTTGCTCCCACGACTGCATGCACTGGGCAGCCGCAAAGGGGAGCAGAGGAAGCACAAACAGCGCCCCACATAGGGCAGAGGGGGCTCTCACCATTAGCAAAAATCCTATGAAAGACTGTTGGGAACAGAGCAGCCCGTAAGCGGGAGGGAGGAAAACAGAGAAAAGTTGTGAGCGATGGAGCAGCCAAGCCCCAGACAAATGGACACACAACAACACACAGACACAGCACACAGAAATGTTAAACACTGCACACGTGTACACAGCAAATGAAAGCACTCATAGCAGGCACAGCCTGGAACCTCCGTTGGTAGGTCTAGCCCCAGGGGCTCAAGTCAGACCTTACACCCAACTCTTGCCCTTTCCCAACCTTCTACTGAGATCTCTGTATTAACCCCCAATTCCCTACAGAAAGGTTCGAGATTAGGCCCTACCCCTTTTTCCACTACTTGACTGGCCTCTCTATAAATTGCCCCTAGTAAGGTCCTTTCTCTTATCACCAGCCCACACCTCAGAATTTTCCTCTTTTCTCCCATTCCTTTCATCTTACCCCCATGGTTCCCAAATTCCCGAGGCTCCCCTGCCCAGAACCTCTCCCTCCCCTCACCAGAGCCAATCTTGATGAGTCCGTTGTGCTGGATGAAGATGGTGTCACAGGTCAGGTTCCCATGGATGATGGGGGGGTCACACGAGTGCAGGTAGCTGTGGGGGCACTGGGCTGTTAGAGGGGCCAGTGGGAAATTAGGGCAGGGGGAACCCAAGGGTTAAGAAGAGCAAGGGCCTGGTCTCCTGGTCATCAAAAAGGTAATACCCACACTCTGAATCTCCGTTATGCCTGATGAGTTAAATAGCTGGATAGGAACTAGGAGAAAGAGGTGGGAGACAGTATCATGGTCAAGGCATTGGGATGACCGTTTTAAAAGACCCATAGGGGCCTAATCTTGAGAACATGGTTCAAAGAAAGTGGGGAAGAAAAGTGGGGCAGAAAAGAACAGCAGAGTAGTGCTCTGAAATTTGTTTGGAGAAACTAATCAGGAATAAATATGGGAAAGACACTACCAGATCTTGCTTACCTTAGGGCAGAGAGGATTTGTGTGCACCAACGCTTCCAAGCCTGGAACAGAGTTTGATCCAAGGGTCAGCAGTTATCCACTCTCTTCAGCCTCCACAGTTCCCTCCATCCCTTTCCTGATCAGATTCATAATCTTTTTTAAACTTCCAAACCAGCCTAAAGCTTTGTCTGCTCTCTCTGTACCTTTTCATTCATAGTCTTGTGGTTTTTTTTAGTCTTCTTCAGAAATTGCTTAAGACTCCCAGATGACATGTATTCTGTGATAAAAATGACCTGGAGAGGCAGAACACACAAATAAAGCCTTACAACAGAAATTATCCCTTATCTGGGTAACTTTTATATGACATACTCATAAAATTTGGAAGCCTGGTGTTTTTCTTTTTTCCATCTCCCACCCCGTCCCACCCCTCTAGGTTGCACAGAGCACCAGGTTGGGTTCCCCGTGTCATACAGCAAATTCCCACTGGCTATCTATTTTATATATGGTAATGTGTATGTTTCCATGCTACTCTCTCAATTCGCCCTACCCTCTCCTTCCCCTGCTGTGTCCCTAAGCCTGTTCTCTGTGTCTGCATGGAAGCCTTGTATTTTTAATAAAGTTTCTCTCTTTTGCTCTTAGTATTACTTCCTTAGATTTAATAGGGCAATGAAAATTACTGAGCAATATGAGCTATGGCAAGGAAGAAACAAAAACTCACTCATTTTTGCCCCAACTATAACCAGACAAAAGGCACAGGTAATAGTCATAGGCATACCCTTGGACTGCAAGGAGATGAAACCAGTCAATCCTAAAGGAAATCAACCCTGAATATTCACTGGAAGGATTGGTGCTGAAGCTGAAGCTCCAATACTTCGGCCACCTGATGCGAAGAGCTGACTTACTGGAAAAGACCCTGATGCTGGGAAAGACTGATGCCAAGAAAAGGAGGTGACAGAGGATGAGACGGTTGGATGGCATCACTGACTCAATGGACATGAGTCTGAGAAAATGTGGAGATAGAGAAGGACAGGGAAGCCTGGTGTGCTGCAGTTCATGAGGTCACAAAAAGTCAGACATGACTTAGTGACCAAACCACAACATCTCAAGACCAGCTGATTCCAGCTCTGTTTCAATATTACCTTTTTCTGAATGTAAAAACAACAATAAATGTAGCTAGTCTGTTTCCAGTAAGCTCAGGAAAAAGTTCTTACCCTGGCCTTGTTCTCTTTAATGTCAGCCCAATACTTATGAAACTTGACAATGTTGAGATGTTCCAACTGAATCAGATTATCAAACACAGCACGGACCTTTTCCTGGAAGCAGGGGAGATGTTGGGATTACAATGTTCAGAAAGCATTATCATCCTAAAAAGCCATTTCCTATCCCCACTAGAAATGATCTAACCCCAACATACTCTTCTCCTAGTAGCTTCCCAACATCAATTCCTCTTTAACACCAGCATTCTAACAACCCACAGGCTGCATCCTTTCACCATTACCTACCTCCTGCAGCTTGTAGTTCTTGCGCTCTGAGAACTGTACCTCATTCCACACAACCTCTACACCTTCCTCTGTATCCATGGCCAGGTATGCGCTGTCAATACCTGGTACATTCCGCTGATTCACCTGAGAAGAAATTCAAATGAAAGGGAATTAAAATTACCACATGAACTATCTATTGTAATGTTCCATACAGTCATCTTCTCCCTGCCTCTGACCCGTTCAAGTTTGGTCTGCCCCTTTGAGATTCTGTCCCTCCACTTCTCACCTCTTAAAATTCACTGTGAAGTCACACTCCCACTGTGCTGTGCTTAGTTGCTCAGTCGTGTCCCATTCTTTGCGACCCCATGGACTGTAGCCCATCAGGCTCCTCTGTCCATGGGGATTCTCCAGGAAAGAATACTGGAGTGGGTTGCCATGCCCTCCTCCAGGGGATCTTCCCAACCCAGGAAGCAAACCCAGGTCTCCCACATTGCAGGTGGATTCTTTACCATCTGAGCCAGCAGGGAAGCCCAAGAATACTGGAATGGGTAGCCTATCCCTTCTCCAGGGGATCTTCCTGACCCAGGAATCGAACTGGGGTCTCCTGCCTTGTAGGCGGATTCTTTACCAGCTGAGCTACCAGGGAAACAACACTCCCACTAAACACTCCCACTGCCTTACCTCTTCTCGCCTCTTCTGCCAGCGCCCACAGGGTGACTCTTCCAAGATCTCAGACTCATCTTCACTTTCTTCTTCTTCCTCTGGGGAAGCAGCAGAGGTTGTGGAGGTCACAGGAGGTGACACTGACGTCAAGCCAGGAGCTGAGGATGAGGATTCTACCTTTGGGTCCGAACCACTGCTGAGTACTGTCTGGGGCTCGCCTTCCGACATGCTGGAACAAACACTCAGGCCTGCGTTGGTTGGAGCAAGGGTGAAGGGAGAAGGTGGAGAGGGTTAGAATAGATTCTATAAAGATTCCATCCTAACAACATAATCTGGGGTTTAAAAGTAAATAAAACATACACCTCCCTTGTTTCCTTCAAGTCCAAAATCAGAATTAGTCCTGTATGAACCCTAGACATTAACTACTCTCCTAGTCTGGAGAAGGGTAGCTATCTCGGCTGAAGATGGACTCACCCAGGTCAGTGACCAACTGAAGTATACATCAAGCTTAAAGAATATGCTGCTATGCATAAACATGTTAATAAACATATTTTGTCACGTAGAAAGATGATTCACCCAAGAGTGGCAAACAAAAGATTTATGGTTGTACAACTCATGTTTAGTAAGGTCCAAATAGAACAGCAAAATCAGGGGCCTCATTCCTTCTCAGCAAATACCTACCCAATAGCCCTTCCTTTGAATTCTCATCTACCTCTTGTACTATGCTCAAGAACCAAGCTACATGGGCACCATGCAGGGCAGATGACTCCAGATCCCCAAATGTTCCAATGAACCAGCTCGAGAGTTAGAGCTGTAGTATTCTCAACCAATTTGTCCAACTGAAACCCTAAGATGATTGATTCCATTTGGACTAACCCTGGCACCCACTCTCCATCCCTCCTATGCACAGAATAAGCCTGCCAGTCCATGATGAGGCTACCCTTGGGCCAGGTAACTGGCAGTGGTTAGTGACTTCATTCCTGATGACCTCACCTTCCCTGTGATGTGAGTGTGGTAAATGGGTGGGTACTGGTTAGCAACATTTTTTTTCTATTCACTCATTCAACAAATGTTTATTAAGCACCTATTATGGGCCAAGCACTGAGTAAGGTGCTTGAGATACCATAGTGAACAATATAAATAAGATGCCAATACTCAAAGCCTAAATTTAAGGCACAGCTAAGATTTTAATCTTCCAGTTTTCATTTCATTCACATGGCTCAAAGGCTCCATCCTCTGAGGCACTGGATCTGACACAGGTATCCCTTCTAAACACAAATAATTCAAGACAAAGCCATTACAGGAAAAGTACTATATTACACTAAATAGTGTATAGTAGTATACATGAACATGGCTTCTTGGAAAAAATTCTCAAAAGCTAAATATCATGAACTTCAGAGAGTCATAGGACAACCGATGAATGTTATTCCATATCTCTTAAGAATGAAGGCTGTAAAGAAGTTGGAACCTGTGTGTGCTAGGCTCAAGCGGATGCTCCCCAGGATGAAAATATACTGTAGATGTGCTCCTGTAAGTCAGTTCAAAATACAGAAGCTCCTGATCAGGATCTTTTGAAAAGCCCTCATTTCGTTCTAGAACTCTCAGATGCCCTCTTCTGCCCATCTCTGCCACCAACCTACACTATGTTGAACTCAAGTCAGTAGATTTCCTTGGTCTTTTTAAAAAAATTTTTTCATTTTGGAGATTTTTATTAGATGACATTCCAGTAAATATCAGAGAGCAACAAAGCACTACAGAGAAAATCTAACAAGATGCTTTTTCACCTGTTTTTTCTCTTGCCTATCATGGATTTCAATCAACAGTTTTAGTAATTTACCAGAAAATTCAAGTTACAGATCATTTTCCTTCTCCCCCTGAAAAGTAGCTAAAAGCTCACAGGGATTACTTTCTAGAGTAACTTTATTTATAGACTGTATCCTGAATCTGAACAGCTAAGGAAAGTTCCCAGCTACATTATAAGAAATATCAGTGGAATTGTAATACAGGAAGCCTGTGGCCAGTGAGCTCTAAAGAAACTTCTGGACCGAAGGCACAGACAGTTAATCCACAGTATGGCACGAGATGCCAAACTTTCATCAATCATAGGCGCTCTTCGAATGTGCTTGTCTTCTCCCTCCCCAATCTCTCCCCAGTAGGCAAGATGATGGCAATGCCCAAGAATCCCCAGGACCCCTCCTGCTGATTAAGAACCTTTGCAACACTGGGAGTTTTTGTCTCAGGGCCAGTCGTTCAGAAATTTAAATGAGACCACAGACGGAAAAAGGGAATCTCCTCAACGCCTCCAACCACCCCAACATGCACACTCATCTTGTGTGCATGCACACACAACATGCACACCTCAGAAGTGTTCACTTCTGAGCTGTGCAGGTAAAACATTGCAACGCTTTTCCTGCAAAGTTTTTCATTTTTTGGACTGCAACTTCTCAGCATCTCAGCTTCTCAGCATCTCAACTCCTCGGCAACAGCTCGCAGGCCACAGGCCTCTCGCCCGCTCTCATCCTGAGCGGACCGAAGAGGACTTGAGACCTGCAGGACTGACCAGTCAGACAGATATAAACTGGAGGAAGAATTTAACACTCCAACAGGTCGCCTAGCCCGCTGACTGCGAGTGAGCGTCGGGCCCCCAGGCAGGCCCTGCAGCCAGCGGCGGCCACCTCACCAGAGGCCGGCCCGGCGGCGCCGTCAGGGGCGCAGGCCACGCCCCCGCGCAGTCGGCGCGCCGGCCCCGCGAGCAGGCGCGGCCCCGATGCTGCGCTTCCGCAGGCCTCCGGGCCTGCGACCGCCGCCCCCGCCCCCGCCCCCGCCGCCGGCCCCGCCTCTCGGCTGGCCGAGTTCGACACGAACACCGGGGCCTCGCGCCCCGCGCCCGCAGAATTCCGGGCGCCCTGCCGCCGCTCGAGGGGAGTCGGGGAGGGCCGGTAGGAAATGTGGGGCCGACGCGGCCCCCCGGCGCCGGTGGGCCGGGCCTTGGCCACCGAGTGAGCAGGGCCGCCTATAGACACTCGTCTGCTGGGGTCCCAGATCCGGGCCCTAGAGGCCGATCCGTCGGTCCTCTCGCTGAAACCTTCCCTCCCCTAGGCGCTCACCTCCTGACTCCGCTCCCCGCAGCCTGCGCTTCAGTTCCAGCTCGGGTTCCGGGGCCCCGGATCAGAAAGACTCGCTCACAGCTGCGCTCCGCGGCGCAACCGAACTGCGGGCCCCGCCCTCGCGGCGTCCTGACCAACAGTGGGCGGTGCCGCACTGCCGTTGGGTTTCCATTGGACAGGGCGGCCACGGTGGGCGGTGCCCCGGGTGTACTGTCGCTCGTAGAGGTAGCCTTCAACCCGGTCTCCTCCCGCTGCGCCTGTCCGGCTGAGACCTCTCGGAGGGTTCGGTATTTTCGGTCTCAGTGAGGCTCGTCTCTCTGTCTACCCCTCGGTCCGGTCCTGGTGCCCCGGATGATTCTGCTGGGCGAAAGGAAAGCCTTGCCCCTCTTGAAGGCGCCATGACAGTTCTAGTACGACTGAAAGACAAAAGGAGCGAAAGACGTAGCCACAATCCGAGAGGAACGCCCACCCGCTTTCAGTATTTGGGGGTGAGACTGTGCAGGACACCTATTCAGAAAACTTTCTTTAAATTACTGTTACATTGAAACTGAAAATTAATAGTTAACGCTTCGTAAGTGGATAGTACTGATGTTGGCCAAAACTTCCTAAGAGGTTTTCACAGATGTTATCTCTTTTGATCCTCATAAGAAATTGAAATTTTCTTTCAGCAGTAGTTGTCAAATGGAAAAATACTGAATCAGAGGCATTAAGCTATTCACCGAAAGTTGGTAAGAACTAAATTAGGATCCGAAACAGTAAGGTTTATCACAGATTTCCTTGAAAAGATGTTTGGAAAAAATTTAGATTGAAGAGAGCCCAAAGGAAAGAAATGAACTCGGCTCTTAGACACGTATTGTGGAGGGAGGAGGGTGAATCAGTCAGTACTTGGGAATGTCATAATCACCAAATTTCACTATCCTTAAAGGGCATGTGTAGTCCTGTTTAAAGTGATAGGAGACTGGCAAAAGTCTTCTCATTTTCCATCTCTTCACCTCAAAATTTTTAAAATCAAACTTTCTTTGTTCCTTGATGCTCTTTCATCTTTGAAAGAGAGGGCTCCAACACGCTTAGAAATCTGGACCTTGTTTTAGATATTTTAAGAAAGCATTTGCCCACCAAATTTAGCATATAATTTCAGGGAGTTGAGGTTAAGAATCTTTGTTCTCATCTCAAAGAAAGAATGTTCCTCCTCCTATCCAGATTAATCTCTTCACTTTGTAAATTCCAAAGCACTGAATACCTGGCCCACAGTAAACATTAAATATCAGTTGATACTACTATTGCAGTTTCCCATTTTCTCCTGTCTGGGTCTTAGTATCATTGACCTTTACCTTTCAACTAGCTCCTTTCAAATCTGCATAAAGGACCTATTGGCATCCTTAAGCTCCTATTTGTTTTTAACCTTTCATTCATGGTTTTTTTGTTGTTTTTTGCCCAGCTGCATTCCCCACTGCCTTTGCAGTGGAAGTTGAAGTCTTAACCACTGGATTGCCAGGAAAGTCCATTTTCATTCATATTTAAAATGCCCAAGGGGGCTTCTCTGCCAGACCTGGGGTTAAAACTGCCCTTCCAATGCAGGGAGCATGTGTTCCAATCCTGGTCAGGGAATTAAGATTCCCATCATGTTGCAGCCATGATGCCAAAATAAAAATGGTCAAATGTTGCCTGTGTTTATACCACATTATTTTTTATTATCTCTTTTTTCTGCTTAAAGAAATAATATGTACTTATTGTAATAAACTATTTCAAAAATAATAGTGTAAAGTAACTATAATAGCTTGTATGTGCTATATCCCACTGTTTTAATTCCTTATGACATATTAAATCATTTAATACAACTATCCTATGAATATTGTGAATTAATTGCTATAGAAACTGAAAACCTCTTATCTTCACCAAAATAATTAAAAAAGACTTTGATGTATATTTCTCCATATGTATTTTCCTGTATATATATATATGTATATATTAAACTATATATATAGTTTAAAATAAAAGCAAGCTTATACCACAGAATCTTTTTCAGTTTACTCTTTTTACTTTTTCCCCCACAGCAGCACATATAGCATTACTTTAATTTTTCAACCATTGTAGAGTATTCCATTATCCAAATATGCCATG